TTTTTTAGCCAATTTTCATTATTTTTCTCATGTATTTGTTTTATTTCAATTATTTTATTATCAATTGAATCAATATATTGTTCATTTTGTTCATCATCTAAATAAATATACAATTTTTTTGTGAATTTTTAAAATTCTAAAAACATTCAATTATTCAAATGTATGTATAAAACAATTTTATTTTTCTCACCTAATAATATTTGATGTTTCAATGGTTGAATTTGTTCATTAAAAATTTTATCAAATTCATTTTCATTTTCAATTTGTTTTATTTGTTCTACTAATATTTCTAATTGTTTCATATTATTCATTGTTTTTTCATGTTTTTTTTCTAAAATTTCTTTTTCTTTTTCATAAGATGAAATTTTTTCTTTTGTATCAATTTGTAATGAATGAATTTTATTTACAATTGATTTAATAAGTTCTGGTGTTAATATATCAATTTTTATTTGTTCATCATTTATTGTTTCTATTAAATCTTCTGAACGTTTTATTTGTATCTCTTGTTTTATATTTTCAATTTCTGTTTGTAATTCTTCTAATGTTTGTGGTTGATTATTCATCTGAATTTTTGATTCAATTTCATCTAAACGTTTTCTAACAGTTGATGTTTGAATTTTTAATAAATTATTTTTTTCTTGTTGAATAAAATTTGATGTCAAATTTTTTGTTAAATCATTTATCAATTGTTGATCATTAACATCAGGAAATAATATTTTTAATTCATCACCTAAATTATTGTACATTTTAATATGTGATGTTAATGTTTCATCATTACCATTATCATTATCTCGTATACGATTAGATAAAAGTTCATGTTGATCATTGAATTCATTCAATTTTGTTAATAATAATTCATTTATTTGTCGATGTTGAACAACTTTATTATAAAATGTTTGTAAACGTAATAATAATGATTGAACAATATTTTGAACAATATCATGATCAACATTTGACATCAATATTAATTCTTTCAGATCACCTTCGATCGTTCGTTCATCATGATGACGTTTTTCAATTTCACCAAGAAGAATCTAAATTAAAAATAAAACATAAAAAAGAAAAAATGAATGAATTGATATGTTATTAGTAAGTGTACTTGATTTAAAAAAACAATTAAACATACTTGATCTTCCTTAATCTTTTCTAATAATTGTTCTTTATTAAGTCGTTTTGTGTCATCATTATTTTTTTGTTCTTGAGAATCGATCCATGTTAAAATTGTTGTTGTAGATAATTTAATATTTTCAGCTAAATCAAAACAAATACGTGTTTTATTGTGTATTCCTTCACAATTTTTTAATAATGTTTTATATTGTTTTATTAATAAATAATATTTTTCATTTTGTTCACTTTCATCATTAAAATATTGACTTAATTCATAGGTTAATGTTTCTTTATCAATTAATTGTGTTAAAAATCGTTCATAATCATCTTTTTGTATTTTTAATTTATTATAATCAGCAGATATTAATTGTTTTCCATATGTTTGATTATAATAAATAATTCGTTCATTTAACCATATTTCAAATTGATTTAATTTTATTTCAATATCATTACGTCGTTCTTGTTTTTCTAATAATTTTCGTTTAATATCATTAAATTTTAATTCAATTTGTTTTAATAAACGTTCTTCACTATTTAAACGTTGACGTAACGGTAATATATAGGATTCAAGATTTCGTATTTCTTGTTGTTGAATTTCTACATCATTCTCTGTTATAAATAATGATAAAGATTTTAAATAATCAAATAATGTATCGAGAGATTCTTTAGCATTTTGCCATGATAATCGAGATAAATCAAGATCTTTTTTCAATAGTCTAAATATATAAAGAATAGAATAGAATTTAGAGAAACATTAATATTTTCACATTTATCCTTTATAAAAACAGATAATACATTTCTTATAATCTTATTTCAATATATTATATATACNGTCGGGTGCTCAAAACGTACACCCACAACAATCATTCGAACATTATCATCAATTTTTTCGATAAAATTATGACATAATAATAATTGTGTTTCAAATTGTTGTATATGATCTTTTATTTGTGTTAGATTATCTAATGAATATTTTGCTTTTACAGTTAAATTATCATATTTTTTATTCACATTTTCCATTATTTGTTCAATAACATTATTTTTATTCATATTTTCATTAACAGAACAACGTTCTAATAATATTTCTCCTTTTAAATTTAAATCTTCTACTCGTTCATATTGTTTTTCAATTTTATCATAAATTTGTTTTATTTGTTCTATTTGTTCACGTAATTCATGTTGATTATATGATGAACCAGAGAGTATACACTGTCGAATATCTAAAATATCGACAATACATTGTTTCTCTTGAATTAATGTTAAAAGATCTTTTGATAAATGATTAAACTCTAATAATTCATCTTTTTGTAGTTGAATATAATCAATCATATCTCGAATATGTTCAACATAATCCGACCAAAGATGATCTAAATAGTAAAATTTAAATAATTATTTATACTAATTTTAAAATAAAATACAAAATTTTACCAATTTCTTCCATTTCATCATTAATTATTTTCGTATCAAAACGATTTTGGCCACCATTAATTAACGAGAAACCAGTTGTTCTATAATCTTCCATAATAACATTTGACGACTTTAGACGTTCATCAATATCCTTCAATGAGACAAAGAATAGTATAATTTAGTAACAATTCGATATGAACGTAGTTGACATGAGGTGGATTGTTTTTACTATCCTTAAGGATCTTTTGTCATAAAAGTAAAAAATATCGATTTATTCATGACTGGATAGACCAAAGTGTATACTTTCAGAATTTCTATTGCTTTCTGTTTCACAGATAAACTTTCATAGTTTCAGTCGAAAGTATTTCTAACTAAACTTTAGCTCTTTTAAATTGTAACGTCAAGCCTTGACTACATTTTGAGATCGTCTCGAGCTTTTGAGTACGCAAAATGGTGAAGAAATCTTTGCGTCACGAACACCTACTTTTTGATCATCATTTTTAGGATAAGTCTGAAAAAATTCTACATTTTGAGGTCAAATAATTTTCGTGTCATCTTTCTAAGATAAAACACACTGTTCTATGGAAAATTTAATCAAGATTAAATGTTCTCGGATGAAATAGATGTCTCATCTCATACGAAAACTTTTAAATAGGAAAGCAATGTCAAAAAACTTTGAACGAAAAAAAATGATCTTATAAGAGAAAATGATCCGTGCATTTTTTTGCTCTTCCTGTCAACAAATAGCATAACATACTTGATATTTTTTCATAAATAAATCAAGTTCTTGTTGTTCAATGGGTAATAAAATAATCTGATTTTGTTTAATGTCATAATCAAGTAATTCATTTGTTTGTTCAATACATAATTTTGCTTGTTTATGCGATGTTTTATATGTTTCTATTTGTTCTATTAATAATGTAAGATAATCAATATAAGATTGAATACGTTGTCCCATATTTTGATAACATTCGATAATATTTTTCGTAACTGCTATTGTTATTTGTTCATTATCATTTGTATCATTTTTAGAAATTTGTTCATCATTAAATCTTGTCGATGATTCAAATATGATTTTGAGTGTATCTAATAAACTATCAATATTTGAACTTGTATAAAAACATAAAATTTCATCAGATAATATTTTCAATCGATTTACATTATTATTACAAATTGTCTGATATTCCTTATTTAATAAATTACATTTATCTAAACGTTCCAAACAGGCATCTAATTCAAATGGAATTGGTTCTATTTGTTTCAATACTAATTCACTGGAGATAAACCATTGATCTATTATTATTTTTAAATCATTATATTCTTTTGTTAATTGTTCACGATTATTTAGAATTAATGTTAAATCACTAATTAAACGTTGAAATGTTTCATGATGTTCTTGAACAACAAGTTTTGATGTTAAAATTTCATCTTGATCTATTAAATTTCCATCATTTTCGATTAATAAATTTTCAACAGTTTGATTGTATAATGATAATTTTTGCTCATAATTTTCATTATTTTCACCTAAAGTCATAGATATGAAGACGAAAAAAAGTCGAATAATTCTACTTAGAGATTTTATATCTATACCTGATAGTAGTTGTTTTATATAGGAAAAATCATTTTCTTTTATATAATATTCATATTGACGAATTTGTTTTGCATAAGAATCAATAATTTGTGCATGTAACAATAAATATTCATTTAATTTTAATGATAAACGATTTATTTTCTCATTATAATTATTTGAATTTAATTCTAAATCTTTTAAATTATTTTCAATTGTTTCTAATTGACTATTTTCATCATTAACATTTAATAATTGAGATTGTGTTTTAATAATATTACTGAATGAATGACGACGTGTACGTAATTGTGCATCATATTGACGATAAAAAATAATTTGATCATCTAATTTTGAACGATTTAATGATAATGATTTATTGAGAAAATCAATATTAAATTGTTCACGAGCTTTTTCTAACCATTGAATACAATCGATTATATTTTCTTTAACATTTCGAGTTTCATTATATAAACGTTGAATTAATTCAAAATGGTTCATCAAACGTTTTTCATTATCATTCAATCGATTTGTTTGTGTTTCGATTGATGAACGAATCTAAATTTTAAATATAAACAATATTAAAAATGAATTGAGACTATTTGAATAATTAAAAGATGAGGATGAATATTAACAAGAAGTTTTATTTCAATAATCTCTATTATTATTATATGATATTGTACAAATAAGTCAAAGTATAAACGATGATAGACAATGTTAATTGTCTATTTCTTCTGTATTTAGTCATATACTTGTACTGTCAACAAACCCATATAAATCGATCAATATCAACCTTCTGATGAAAATAATATATTTTTTTCTAAATTCTAGAAAGTGTACGTAATTAGAAAGTACTCTTCTTCTTCTGATCAATACTATTCAAGGATAAGATACCAGATGAAGATGTTAAATATACCTGTGAGAATAATAGTGATAAAAAACAAAATACATTCAAATTATATCTTTTTCTCTCTCTCACTCATTTTTACCTACTTGTAGAATCTTTTTTTCTTTTTTCGTTCAATTTAGATATTCATTGTATGAGAAAAAAAGGAAAATTTGTTATTATCTGTTTATTAGATTCTTGAGAGGGATTACCTTCATGAACGTCAATATACATGGAAAAAAGCAAGTAAGAGTGGCAAGGGAAAGTTGATATTTAATAAAGCCAATGAGGATTATGATACTGCTGAGAATATATAAATAATGTGACCTTATATATACACACACACATACACACGTTCAGAGCTACGTTAAGGTGTTGAAAAGATCAATCATAGTTTATATGTTCATTCTTCTATGTACACAAATCGCTCAATACACTTGTCTAAATTCTTTGCGTTCACAACTGATTAAAGAAATTGTGTTTTAGTATTTTACCCTTCTCTTCCCGATCATTCACTTCATTATATCATAGAGATGGATCTAATAGATAGACTGATTCATTTTTCTTTATATCATACATCAGATTTTTCTTTGTTTTATCATCGAATAAATTTAATTGACTGAAAATTGAATCACAATAAAAAATTTAAAAGTAAAATAGTTCTCGACTAATCTATTCTGAAAACGGAAACTATTCAGCATAATGTATAAAAAAGCATACGGTAAAATATTGATTGACCATTAAGAATGAAACGTTATTTTCCGAAAAAAATAACAGAAAAACACAGGCATATATCCATTATCAATATCTAATGATATCATGGACAAGAAAGGAGACTCTGCTTCATTTTCGATCGTCATTTCGTTAGGGTATGTCTCATTTGAGTTGGTAGTAAGCCTTGACGATAAAAACATTGTTGGTATACAAATAAATCTTATTATTATTAAAGCAGAACAATGGAATTTTATCTGAATTACTATGATAGAAGAAACATCACGGAACGGTTAAAAAGGAGAAAAAAAGGTCTGAAAACCTTAACCAAATTGTCTTTACTGAAAAATGAAGAAAGAAAGAAAAAAAATGATGCTAAATAGTAATCGAGATTTTTCTTTTTTTTTCTTCTTTTCTTTTTTCAATAATTAATTATACATCTTAATTGCAATTTTCTCTGCATGATCTCGGAACAATCAGATACCACTACCCTAAGTCTCTATGTTAGTGCATTAAGCATGTTTCATACTAGAATATGCAATTTTTTTCACAAAGGTACACTCAATCAAATAATAATAAGATAGTTTAAAATACAAAGGAAAGATAATGAATACCTCTATGGTAATCGATTAAAAAATATAAAATAATCAGATTTTTACTTTTTGACAAGTTTAAAAATATTCTTTTCGATCAGTATACAGATCTATTTAATAAGTAACTAATTGCTAACAAAGTTGACCTTTATTTGATAATTAAGTACTAGATACTGTTGAACGAGTAGAACAAAATAACAACGTGTAGATTGAAAATACACCTGATAATTATGATGATAGTGTCTTCTATTATATACGTAATGTTAGTACATTTTAGACCAATATATTCATGTTTCCTTCCTGTATATAAATATAGTAGATACTTTGTTTCAAAACAGATCTCTCGTGTTTTGTCCTTCTTCTTGTCTGTTATTGTCTCAATGTGCATATATAGCTACGTACATATATATGGACGAGTGAAAGAAAAACAGAAACAAAAAAGAAAAAAGAAGAATTTTCCCATGTGTTTGAGATTCTTATTCTTGTTGTTTTCATTATAGTATCGAGACCACACAATGAAGAAAATGTGGATAACCTTAACTTCATTAAAATTATTTAAACTTTAACATATAATCTTCTAACATGTATGATTGACTAATCCGTTACTTACATAATCATTTATCTGATTTTGTACAGAAGTAGAAGACGGTTGACTAATATCAACTTCACTGACTGACGTATCTACTGTTTGACTTATTCGACGTAATTTTTCTAACTGCTGTTGACAATTTAACAATAATACTTGTAATTCGTTCTTGTCATCAAGAATATTTTCTTTCTAAAAGTAAAAAAGCTTTCAATAAACAATACTATTCAACTATATAGACTAAACTTTGCCTTTATCTATCGCACCACTAGGTAAGACCCATGTCACTACTCAGCAGCACATGAAAAATGTTTAAAGTGGATTATTTAGCACAGGGGGCATTTCCTCATAGAGCAGGCGGCATTTTTTGCCGACATAGTTTTTTTGAATCCAAAAGCACTTTTTTATAGGTTTTCGCATACGGTATTTCCAGCAGTGTGGCAAAGGTGAGTCGTGGA